AGCTAACTGAAATGGAAATATGGAAAGGGAACAGCAGAGTTTTTTGGAATTTGCAGTGGAGTTAGAATTACCTGTCCAAAGAGAAGACCATGGAAAGCTGGAGTGGCTCAAACTGGGAAGTCTGAGGGCAACAGAGAGCATACACAGAGTGTGGGTGTATATGTTGGCTGTGTGTGCAGTGGATAGGTTTTGAGACCATATTTATAGCTTGAAACTAGCCCTGGGCGATGGGCTATCTGCCCAGGTAACAAAGATTGAATGACTTGTCCCAGGAATTGACAATGGGATTCCAGACTGATTGATGGATTTAGCAAAAACAGTGATTGGATCGGGATATCCCTGAGATGGATGGATAGAGAAGTTTGGCTGGGGACACAACAAGAATTAGGCAGAGAGATTGGCTTACTGCTTTGGGTGCAAGGAGATCCCTAGGTTTTGAGAGGAAATGCAAATTACTTGGGGAAAGGAACCCTTTAGATCTGATAGTTTTGCTTACTTGGACCCTTTTCTCCTGGGAACTTGACCTAATATTCCTGCAAGGTCATCAGTTTCTCAAAAACATGCTATCTCCAGATGTGAGGTATCAAAATATTAACTACGTCAAACCACTTTGGGAGGAGAACTTATACAAGTGCAAGGCTGAGAGACATCTGCACTGCTATGTAGCTTTATTTTCCTTCCATCGATTCGGCATCAAGTCTTCCTGGTTGGGAAGGACGCTGAGCAAAGGACACTTGGAAGCATAGATTCACAGGTTGCAAGGTCCTCTAAGGCAGGGTTAGGCAACCTATGGCCCGGAGGCCAGATGCGCCCCCCCGAGGCCTTTGGACCGGCCCCAGGCCAGTCTTGCCGCTGCCACCGCCACCACCCCCTGCCAATCCCCCGCCGCTGCCGCCCTCCATGATGATATTGATTATTGTTGTTATTACTTGTTCTTGGGGTTTTCTTGGCAAAATCTCCACAGGGGTTTTGCCCTCATGGCTTTTCTGGGGCTGAGACAGTGTACATGCATCCCTGCTTGTTTGTGGGCCTGCCTTCCAGTCGTTTCCATGATGATAATGATTATTGTTGTTATTACTTGTTCTTGGGGTTTTCTTGGCAAAATCTCCACAGGGGGTTTGCCATGGCTTTTCTGGGGCTGAGAGAGTGTGCATGCATATTTTTAATTTTTTTTTTAATTTTTAAAATTTATTTATTTGTTTATTTATTTTAGGTGCTTTGGCCCCCCAATTGTCTGAGGGTCAGCAACACGGCCCCTGGCTCAAAAAGGTTGCCCACCCCTGCCCTAAGGGCCATCTAATCCAACCAGGGGAGTCACTATTGGGATGTAGGGGTACAAACCACACACCACGCAACACTTTGGAGGGGAGTGAACACCTGGTGGGGTGTCACTCACTATCCATCCAGCTGCACCCCTCCACCTCTGCCATTCATTGGCTGTGCCCGCTTTTGGGTGAAGGGTGCTGCTGAGCCCTGGCAGCTCCTTCTGGACCTGATGGGGCTATTGGATGGCAATAGCACTCGACTCCCACTAAGGCAGAGGCTCCCTGGCTGGCAGAACTGGGCAGTTGGGGTGTGTGCCAGGCAGCCTTGGGATGACAACATGAATTACTTCACTGGGGCAACACCGACCCTAGTGACACCACTGAGCCCAACCCACTGCCAACGCAGCAAATCTGCCCTTAAAGCACCCTAGAGAGCAGGCCTTTCAATCTCTATTTAACCCTCCCAATGAAAGAGAGTCCACCTGTAATGGAGTCTCTGCTATTAAACCCCCATGGACAGGGAGAAATTAAAGGTACTGCACTTAGGCAAAATAAAAAATAAAAAAATTGAAATGCACAGACATAGGATGGGGGACACCTGACTTGCCAACACTACGTGTGAAAGGGATCTAGGAGTCCTAGTAGACCACAAGTTGAACATGAGTCAACAGTGTGATGTGGCAGCTAACAAGGCCAATGCAATTCTAGGCTGCATCAATAGAATTAGCAATAGCAATAGCACTTTACCTTTCCATACCACATGATAGTGAGCGAAGCACTCTCTAAGCAGTTTACAATGTGTAAGCCAGTTGCCCCCATCAAGCTGGAAACTCATTTTACTGACCTACAAAGGGATAGAAGGCTGAGTCAAACTGGAGCCCCTTGAGATGAAACTCACAACATTGTGGTTGCAGTACTCACATTTAACCACTGCGTCAGCAGTGGAAGTACAGAAGTATAGTGCCTAGATCAGGGGTAGGCAACCTAAGGCCCGGGGGCCAGATGCGGCCCCCCGAGGCCTTTGGACCGGCCCCAGGCCAGTCCTGCTGCCGCTGCCGCCACCTGCCATGATGATATTGATTATTGTTGTTATTACTTGTTCTTGGGGTTTTCTTGGCACAATCTCCACAGGGGTTTTGCCATGGCTTTTCTGGGGCTGAGACAGTGTGCATGCATATTTTTTAATTTTTTTATTTTAAAATTTATTTATTTATTTATTTATTTATTTATTTTTGGTGTTTCGGCCCCCCAATTGTCTGAGGGACAGCAACCCGGCCCCCGGCTCAAAAAGGTTGCCTACCCCTGGCCTAGATGGAGGGAAGAAATAGTGCCACTCTGTTCTGCTTTGGTCAGGTTTCATATTGTGAATATTGTGTCCAGTTCTGGGCTCCACAATTCAAGAAGGATGTGGACAAGCTGAAGCGTGTCCAAAGGAAGGCAACCAAAGTGGTGAAGGGTCTGGAAACCATAAAGCCCTATGAGGAGCAACTTAGGGAGCTGGGGATGTTTAGCTTGGAGTAGAGAAGATTAAGGGGTGATATGATAGCCCTGTTTAAATATTGGAAGGGATGTCATATTGAGGAGAGAGCAAGCTTGTTTTCTGCTGCTCCAGAGAATAGGACACAGAGCAATGGATGCAAGCTACAGGAAAAGAGATTCCACCTCAACGTTAGGAAGAACTTTCTAACAGTTAGAGCTGTTTCACCTATTGGAGGGTGATGGGGTCTCCTTCTTTGGAGGTTTTTAAGCAGAGGCTGAATGGGTATTTGTCAGGGGTACTTTGATTGTCTATTCCTGCATGGCAGAATGGGAGGGTTGGATTGGATAGCCCTTGGGGGTCTCTTCCAACTCTATGATTCTATGATACAATCCAAGAATTAGGGATTGGTTCTTGCACACTCCACTCCACTATTTTAAAAAATCTGATATGTGTCCCTAAAGGATTTGTTACTTGTAAGCTAACTTTGGGAACCACCTCTTTTGTTTTTGGCCCTTCCACCTCCTGAAATGCAGCCCTCAGGGATGTATCTCTCAAGCCGAAAGAGGTTCCCCACCCTTGGTACCGAGGTGACCCCCTTTTTGCAGTGTGCCCCAAATAAGAAGACTATTAAGCATTTGGATGGGGCCTTTGCACCTAGGATGCAGCTGGAGCAAAGCCTCAAAGCAAGAGTCGCTGCTGGAACAACTCAGCCAGCTCTCTGTCCTTCTGCTAGAGGAGACATGCTTTTTTCCAGACCTATTTTTTGCTCTGGAGCAAGAATGACAGATAATCAAAGAGCCCGGCTCATTCAGGCGGCTTCCATTCAAGCCTGATCTCTTCTGTTTGGAGACTTCAAGGTCTGCCCTCTTCCAGGGCTTTCTCTCTCTCCCTTGCCAAAAAAAGGATCCAGATTTTTTAAAAAATAAATATAGAGGCAGGTATGAAGGAACTGGAGAAGCTATCTCTGAAGATTCCTTGCCTAAGAAAGCCCTATGAAATTCATGGGGTTGCTGTAAGTCAATAGATGACATAAAGACATGAAAGCATACACATGCACACACAGGCGGAAAAACTGTAACTTCCACACATGCGTGTCTGTGCTTCTTTGATATCCTGAATATCGTGGTCTGCCTTCAAGAAGTTTCCAACTTATGGCAACCCTAAAGCACATCTGTCACAGGGTTTTCTTGGTAGGATTTGTTCAGAGAGGGTTTGTCTTTGCCCCACTGTGAGGCTGAGAAACTGTGACTTGCCCAAGGGTCACCCAGTGGGGTTTCCATAGCGGAGTGGGGTCTCTGTTCTCCAGAGTCATGGTCCAAGCCTCATATCACTAGACTAGACCATGCCAGATTCCTTGCCCAAGATGCAAACCACTCCATCACTCTGTCCTCCTTTATTCTGGCGGTGTTATCCCTTTATTCCTTAGTGTGCAAATGCACATTCATTGTGGATCCTTTTCATTCAGACAGACAAACACAAATGTTTTCTTACTCTTGAACATGGCAAGTGTTCCAAGTGTGGCATGCGGTTGGCCTGTTCCTTTCTACATTGCTCATTCAATATTCTAAATACTAATATATAATCATCCCGCCTCGTTCGCTGACTCGGAGTCAGTGGTCTCGCTCTTTACGGGAGGGACAAAATGGCAGCACGTGCCCCTGGGTGTCCCCTCATGTGTCCTACGGGCATGCGCACCATTATTTTCTATGGGGCTTGAATATTTGCAAGTCACCATTTTCACCCTGCAAATTGGGAGAGGCTACTGTATGTATGTATGTGTGTGTATGTATGTGTATACATATATAAATCATAGAGTTGGAAGAGACCCCAAGGGCCATCCAGTCCAACCCCTGCCATGCAGGAACTTCCAATCAAAGCATCCCTGACAGTCTCCTTCCTTGGAGGTCTTTAAGCAGAGGCTGGATGGCCATCTGTCAAGGATGCTTTGATTGGGAGTTCCTGCATGGCAGAATGGGGTTGGACTGGATGGCCCTTGTGGTCTCTTCCAACTCTATGATTCAATGATTCTATGAGATGGCCATCCAGTCTCTGCTTAAAAACCTCCAAGGAAAGAGACTCCAATACTCTCCGAAGGAGAAGTGTGTTCCATTGTCAAACAGCCCAACTGTCAGGAAGTTCCTCCTAATGTTGAGGTGGAATCTCTTTTCCTGTAGCTTGCATCCATTGCTCTGGGTCCTATTCTCTGGAGCAGCAGAAAACAAGCTTGTATACACACACACACATATATATATGGAGCCAGTGTGGCTTAATGTTTTGAGCATTGGACTATGACTCCGGAGACGAGGGTTCGACTCCTGGCTCCGCCATGGAAACTCACTGGGTGACCTTCAGCAAATCACACACTCTCAGCCTCAGGGGAAGGCAAGGGCAAACCTCCTCTGAACAAATCATGCCAAGAAAACCTCGGGATAGGTTCCTTGAGGCGTCGGATCTGGGCTCAGTGGTACATGCCTTGGTTACATCCCACTTGGACTACTGTAACGGACTCTACAAGGGCCTGCCTTTGAAGAGTGTTTGGAAATTTCAGCTGGTCCAAAGAGCTTCAGCCGGGCTGTTAGCTGGGGCTGGTTACAGAGACTATATAACGCCCCTCTTGAAACAGCTCCACTGGCTGCCAGATTGTTTCCAGGCACAATTCAAGGTGCTGGTTATGACCTATAAAGTCCTATATGGCTCAGGTCCATACTATTTGGCAGATTGTATCTCCCTGTATGAACCGGCCCGGGCTCTGAGACCCTCCGGAGAGGCCCTTCTCTCCATCCTACCCCCATCACAAGCACGGCTGGTGCGGACGCAAGAGAGGGCCTTCTCGGTGGCTGCCCCTAGACTCTGGAACTCCCTGCCCAGGGAATAATAGACCAGAATGGCTCCCTCCTTGTTGGCCTTCCGCCGACAGGTAAGACCTACCTGTTCAGACAGGTTTTTAAAATAGAATGTTTGTAAGGACTGGCTTGGGATGTTGTATCATTTTAAAATGTCTTATACAGTTGTATTTTTTAAAAATGTATTTTATTTTTTGAATAGCTATCTGATTTGACATTGTAATAATTTAATTCTTTTTTAATGCACCTTTTTTCTATGTTTTTAATTATATATAAATATATATTTTAAATATCGTGAAGCCACTCTGAGTCCCAGTTTTGGGGAAAGAGTGAGATAATAATAATAATAATAATAATAATAATAATAATAATAATAATAATAATTTTTATTTACATCCCGCTCTTCTGCCACGCAATCGGGGCAGCGTACAACACATTAAAACATCACAATAAATTAAAATCAATCCAAATCCCGTACCATATTCCCACACCCACCCACTTACCCACCCCTTAAAAATAAATTAAACGGAGGCAGGTTAAAATAACAATTGTTAAAATAAGCAATACAAAAATACAGTAAATTTTTACAATACTGATATACAGAGCGGCGTTAATCAAGGCGGTAGAAGGGCGATGGTCAGATCTTATGTCTTCTGGGCTGGGCTACTACTACTACTACTACTATACTACTACTACTAATAATAGGTTTGCCTTAGGGTTGCTATAAATTGGAAATGATTCAAAGGTACACACCACCACCACCACTGCTAATCCCATTTAATATCGTGCTTTCCTCATTTCCTACAGCTTTGACTAAAACACGAGAGGCAGTGAAAACCCATGCGTACTTGTTTGTTTTAACAACAACAACAACAACAACAACAACAACAACAGAATGCACTTTCTCTCTTTGGAGGAGGGTTGGGTGGGAAGACTGAAGATCAGCGAGAAACAAGAGGGACACAGCCGGCTTTGAGGCGGCAGGTGGAGTAAGACAATCCCTTCTGCAAAGCCATTTTCAGACCAGAAGGCAAAAGTGGTGAGAGTCCCAGGGAGAGTAGCAACCAGGGCTTAGATGGGACCCAGAGAAGTCAACACTGAGTGGCATGGAGCCCTGGGCTGTGGCGTACCTAGTATATTGGACGCCTGGGGTGGATGGTTTTTAAACACCTTTCCTCCTCTCCCCAACCTTTTCTGGATCTGGTGGAGCTACTTGCTTTCCTGGCTAGCCAGATGTGGAAGACACTCCTTTTGAGGAGTCACCCGGTGCCTTTGTATCCCTGG